CTTCTAACAACTTCATCTATGATTTTTTTATTTGTTATTATTTTTTTTTACTTCTAGAAGATACATTTTACTTATGTTCAACTATTCTCATTTTATTTGTATTTTTAAAATCTCTATTATTTAATGAAACATATTGAACATTTACATTATACTATTTTCCTAATTCAGATATCTAAAGCCTTTGTGGGCATGACTTTGGTTTTCTATCTCATTGTACTCTCTTTTCATGATACTTGGTTTCTGGTTCATTTTGAGAATTATCTGACTCTAACTTTTCATCTTTCTTCGAGTTTATTTGTTAGAATTACTTGAAGCATAGATTGTAGGTAGCTTTTTTGAAAAAGTGATTGCTTCTGTGAGAAAGCTAGGCTGTTATCATTAAAAATCAAATTAGCAGTTGTGGTTCATCTATTTATTTAGGTAAAGTTCAGGACCACTGAATTTACAAATTGATAACATGATTTATCCTTGAGTTGAGGAAATCAGTTGTGTATGAATAAAGGCTGCAAATTCTGATGAAGACTTGTGTTGGTTATAGATTGAGTCTCAGTAAAGTTTGGGTTTCTTTGCTTTCTGTTTTTTATCCATTTCATTCAACATCCAGGTTTAAATCAGGCAGTTTTCTTTTGTGGCAGGGGCAGTGGTGGCTGGAAAGGAGAGATGAATTTCTTATTCACCTTTAAAATTATAATTTAGCATTCTTCAGAGTGGAATCTTATTACACTCACATCTATGAGTGGGACTTGGATCTTGCCTCCTATTCTCTGAGACACTCAAGACCTCATAAATTAAATTTTAAGTTCACTTGGATCAACAGAAACCCTGTAAGTGAACTTACTATCAGTACTAAACTGTCTAGATTCTTGTTTTCATTTGGTTTTTGACCTTCATACTTATTTTCTTCCTATCTCCTTGATATGTTTAAGAAAAATNTTAAGACAGTTTTTTCACTCTCCCCTTTCACTTTCATCAAGAGGCTCTTCGATGTTTCTTCCCTTTCTGCCATAAGGGTGGTGCCATCTGCATATCTGAGGTTATTGATAATTCTCCCTGCAATCTTGATTCCAGCTTGTGCTTCATCCAGCCCAGCATTTCTCATGATGTACTCTGCATATAAGTTAAATAGTAGGCTGACAATATATAGCCTTGACATACTCCTTTCCCGATTATCTAGATCTCAGTGTTGTTTTCACTGGAATTTTAGCTCTGATACTTAATCTGACATATTGAATGCAGTGATTATAATATAGGTTTTAGTGTAATATCTACCCAACTTTGATGTCAACTATCTTTATGATGTGAGGGCTCCCTTGGTGGCTCAGACAGTAAAGAGTCTGCCCGCAATGTGAGATACCTGGGTTCTATCCCTGGGTCAGGAAGATGCCGTGGAGAAGGAAATGGCAACTCACTCCAGTATTCTTGCCTGGAAAATCCCATGGATGAAGGAGCCTGGTGGGCTACAGTCCATGGGATCGCAGAGTCAGACATGACTGAACAACTAAAACACATCTTTATGACCGTTAGTCAATCACTGATCTCTCTGAGCCTCCATCTCTGCACCTATAGATTAATAGTAATAAAACTTGCTCCATAGAAAGGATGACATAAGATTATGTATGAAAAGTATTTACACAGCCCCTGGACAATCATAATTGGTCAATAAATGTTAGCTCACCAAAGCAGCAATAACATAACATTATATAAGTAACGTAAATAGACCTTGTGTTTTAAAGAGCACTTTACTGGTTGCTAGTCTAAGTCTGACCCAGCCTCAGTCACTGGCTTTAACTGAGCCCTCTGTAGTTCAAATCCATGTTGTGCAAGGGTCAACTGTATATAAGTTTTGGTCTAAAACCATGTGTTTGTTGTAAATTAAATAGACAAAGTTAAACTTGAAAATCGTTTAAATTGGTCATAAGTGGAGTACCTATGGAATTTTTATCATGCATGTTTTAACTTGCTAGTTTCAACTGAATGTGAGAGAGAGGGGAGAGATTTGAAAGAATGCTAATGATCCTGGCAACTATCCTCATAACTGTATTCTGAAATGAGACATTTTCAGATTCCAAAAAGGATCAAATCTATTTTAAAAAAATCAGAAAATTTAAGTGGAGCCATTACAGATAGCATATATATGACAGTAGTTTTATATAGTGGAAAAAAATCTAAAAATCACCAAAGAAGCAGACTCACAGATATAGAGAACAATTTAGTGGTTACCACTGGAGAGGGGGAAGAGAAGAAGGGCAATGTAGCAGTAGAAGGGGGAAAAAATGGGTCATTATGGAATTATATCTTTTTTTTTTTACCTTTTCATACTGTTCATGGGGTTCTCAAGGCAAAAATATTGAAGTGATTTGCCATTTCCTTCTCCAGTGGACCACATTTTGTCAGAACTCTCCACCATGACCTGTCCATCTTGAGTGACCCTATATGGCATGGCTCATAGTTTCATTGAGTTAGATAAGGCTGTGGTCCATGTGATCAGTTTGATTAGGCAGCATATTAAAAAGCAGAGACATTACTTTGCCAACAAACTCCATCTAGTCAGAGCTATGGTTTTTCTAGTAGTCATGTATGGATGTGAGAGCTGGACTATAAAGAAAGCTGAGCACTGAAGAATTGATGCTTTTCAACTGTGATGTTGGAGAAGACTCTTGAGAATCCTTTGGACTGCAAGGAGATCAAATCAGTCAACCCTAAAGGAAATCAGTCCTGAATATCCATTGGAAGAACTGATGCTGAAGCTGAAACTCCAATACTTTGGCCACCTGATGTGAAGAACTGACTCATTGTAAAAGACCCTGATGCTGAGGAAGGTTGAAGGCAGAAGGAAAAGGGGATGACACAGGATGAGATGGCTGGATGGCATCACTGACTCAACAGACATGAGTTTGAACAAACTCCAGGAGTTGATGGACAGGGAAGCCTGATGTGTTGCAGTTCATGGGGTCACAGAGTCAGACATGACTGAGCTGAACTGAAATGAACTGAACTGATGGGATTATAGAAAATAATCTGTGTGAAACTTTTGTAGAATTTAAGTAATCTTTCATTCAATTAAAAAAAAATAGTCCAGTAAACATGATTTTTTTCTTAATTCTGTATCTCACTTTCAGTAATTTGCTCCTAATGTATGAAGGAAAGTTATGCTTAAAAAATACTTCTGAGTTACCCAAACTTTTGCATTATGTGATTATTTGTTTCAGGAAAGTTATGTTTAAAAACACCTTAATCTGTTAAGGCAAAATATGCCACTATAATAATTTAGTAAATTAAGAATACAGCAAGCCAAAATTACATGTTTATTGAAATTGGAAGTAATCAGTAAGAACAGTGCAAAGAAGCTTAATATACAAAACAATCAAAACAATGAAAATGATTTTGCTGCAACTGCCTTTTCTTTTCTTTTCTACTGTGTTAGAGTTTTTTTTAAATATTAAGATTTGGAATCTTACAATAAAAACCTGAGTAGAAGTTAGACAAAAGATAGACCATAAATTATGATCCCATTAATATAACATTTAAAAATAAGCATAACTGATGAATGGTGTTGATAATCAGAGTAGTGGTTTCTCTGGGGAGCAAAGTATGACTGGAAGGATATGATGAACATTCTGGGATGCTGGTAAGTTTTATTTTTTGATGTAGGTGCTGGCTCATTGTATGTGTATATTCTGCAATGTTTTATTGAACTGCATATTTATGATTTGTACGTGTTCTGTGCCAGTTTCTTATACCTCAATAAAGTTTCATTAATGATAAAAAGTTTATTTCAAAGAAAATACTCATGTTAATCATAAGTGATAGAATAATATTCAGCCATATTTTTGAATGATTCAGTACATCTTAAATTTGCTCCTAGTGTATGAAAGAAATATCTTTAATTACTTAATCCAAACTCATTTTAATTTCAGTTGGGAATGTGCTTTTTGTTTCTTACTCCATACTTTGTTAAATGAATAAAAACTTGGGTTTAAAGCTTAAAAATAAACACTTTGATAACTATTTTTTCTTTCTTTTTTTTTTTTCTTTGTATAGTGATAATGTGACCTATGTTGGAATCTAATTCCTATTCCTCTAATACAGAAATGAAGCTCTGCCATTATGTAAAACATATAGGGCATTTAAAAAGATGAACTGGTAGTTCGAGCTTGTTATAATCTAAAGCTGAAAATTTTAACTTTTGAATTTTGAGAAATATTTTACCCCAAAGGAAAATATCTGGATTTTTTTACTTCAGGTTACCTTGTCTAGCAGAGTTATCCTGAAATGTTTTAAATAGTTAAGCACATATATAGAATTTAAAGTTAGAGATTCAAATTTTTGAGTTTTGTGCTGAATCTCAACATGCATTTTCTATTGTTTACTATTCCTGTAATTATTTGTAGCCAAACTTTGCCACTTACTTTGTAGCCTTTGGCTCTTCAAATTTAATACAAAATTTACATTTCACTTCTTTAGTCACATTAGCCTCATTTCAAGTGTTCAGTGGCTTGTGACTACTGCATTGGACAGAGGACATTTAGAGCACTTCTGTCATTGCCAAAAGTTCTGTTGGACAATACTAATATAAGTACTAGAATAATATATTCCTTAGAGAGTTTTATTTTTGTTAAAAATATTTTTTATAGAATTCTTAGCATTGTAATGATGAATCATAAATGCTTGATATCTGATATTTAATAATAATATTTTAAAATAAGAATAATCAGATAATAGTAATTATAATTAAAATGTAAATGCTACATATCTAGTATCACAATTCTGTCCCTTGTATTCTCAGTTCAGTAGTCATTATCTGTCTCATAACAGTTGTTCAACCCTGTGTATACAAAGTCTATACATCTATATAATGGTACCTAGAAAAATATAACTTTAGGAGGACTTTATTGTGTTATTGTTACCCAAGAAACAGCTGTCTTGCAACCAGAAATAAGCTCTTTCATAGAGGTTATTTCTTTCCAGCTTATTTATAACCTGTACTTTTTCCCTCCTAGGCGACTGATAAAGATACTGGCAATTATAGCGCCATGGCATACAGACTCATAATACCACCAATTAAAGAAGGGAAGGAAGGATTCGTGGTGGAGACATACACAGGGCTTATCAAAACGGCTATGCTCTTCCATAACATGAGGCGGTCTTACTTTAAGTTTCAAGTCATCGCAACTGACAATTATGGGAAGGGACTAAGTGGCAAAGCAGATGTTCTGGTGAGTAGATAAAACTTCAGATAAAGGGGGAATGTGCAGTACTAGCCAGAAGTTAATGTTTTAACACCTAGAACTTTTAAATATTGGAAATAGGTTTTCTAAAACATCAATGTGATTAACTTTTATCCAGGTTGTTACTACGTATAGTTTAGAATATTAAAAAATTAGAGCTTTGTGGTGGTTTATTTTTTGACATTCCAAAAATTAATCATATTGTTTTTGAGTATGACTGCGACAGCATTGTCTTAAGCACTGGTTTTCTGTTTGGTCTGCAGATCTCATTTTTTAATAAAAAGTTTGCTGGAGCTGCCTACAATTTTTAAATGCTTCACAGAGTTGTGCTGTAGAAATGAAAATGTATGAAACTTTCATTACTATTTAAATTACTTTTAGGCCTTTTGTAATTAGGGAAACAAAAAAATGTATTAGAGCAAATTTATGTTCCAGCAGAAGTGATTTTCTTTTACCAAACTCCTCATTGATGACATTGGCGACCCTTGACTAAGCTATCAATATATTTGGCTTCAGTCAACAATCACTTTTCTATTCTGTTTCTTAGGCTGTACACAAGCTCAGTGGTAGGTTATTACCAAGGACAGTCTTATATTGACATTTATTCAAAATAGTCAACACCAAAGCATCTATCCTATGAAATTGCTACTTTATAAGTATAGATTATTTAGGCTTTTTTTTCTGATAAAACTAATAAAAATTATAAATATCATTGTTACTGGAAATATTTGTCACATAAAGACTAAATCCAGTATAATTTTTCTTTTGCTGTTTATACTTTATTAAATCTTCAATTTGCACTGTCCTCATTTAGTTATCAGGACAAGATTAAACATCAAATAGATGCAATAGCTCAGTTGGTAAAGAATCCACCTGCAATGCAGGAGACCCTGGTTCCACTCCTGGGTTGGGAAGAACCACTGGAGAAGGGAAAGTCTACCCACCCACTCCAGTATTCTTGGGCTTCCCTTGTGGCTCAGCTGGTAAAGAATCCACCTGCAGTGTGGGAGACCTGGGTTGGGAAGATGCCCTAGAGAAGGGAAAGGCTATCTACTGCAGTATTCTGGTCTGGTGAATTCCATGGACTACCGTCCATGGGGTCGCCAAGAGTTAGACACAACTGAGTGACTTTCACTCACTCAGATGCAACATAAATATTTTTCTTCTTAGATAATGGTGAAGACCAATCACCATGATTATGATCGATATGAAGGCCAGAACATTCTCATTTATAACAAAGGCCAATGTAAGCAAAAAAGCTTTTGATATACAAAATTTTAAGGTTGGCATAGATTTTTTTAAATCAAAGTAAGATCTGTAAGCTTTATATAATGTCATATTGCCATTTCTCTTCCTGTTAAGGCTGAATAATAAGGCTACTACAGTAAGTATAATTAAAATATTATAAGAACATAAATAGAACATAACTATATAGGTTATCTATATAATATGTACATAAGCAATGTTAAGTTTGTGGGTTTCTTATTTGGACTCTGTAAACTATAGTGTGTAAATTTAAGATATACCTCTAAAAGTATCCAAAATGTATTTAGAAAGATTCAATTCAAAATAATCATAATGTGATATATTTGTAAATCACAATATTTATACAAGGAAATCATCCTAGCAAAATATGTTTCTCTTCAGTCACTAAGTCATGTCTGACTCTTTACAACCACATGGACTGCAGCACACCAGTCTTCCCTGTCCGTCACCATCTCCCAGAGTTTGCTCAAATTCATGCCCATTGAGTGAATGATGCCATCTAATTATCTCATCCTCTGTCTCTACCTTCTCCTCCTACCCTTAGTCTTTCCCAGCATCAGAGTCTTTTCCAATGAGGTGGCTCTTCATATTAGGTCATAATGCATTTATGATAAAATCTGAAATCCTTTCAGAAAAGAGAAGGAAGACATGGAGAGAAATGACTTATGCAAAGAAAACAAGTGCCAGAACCAAGAAGGAAGGGAAATTGTGACAGTTCTCAACAACTGACAGATATTTACTCAGCTTGGCAGAGTGAGGGAGGGAAAGTGAATGAGACAGGGCTGGAGATGGAAGTGTATAAGGTGTAGAGCATATTGAAAATATTGGAACTTTTCCCCTAAAATTAATGGGAAAACACTGAAAAAAATTTAGTAGGAGTGAATGAAGACACAGTTTTTAACTTTGATAAAACTTTCTTGCTTAGTGCAAACCTGACTCTCCCCTGAGGACACTACTTCTGCTGCTGCCTCCTCAAGCAGAAGCTTTTGTTTGTCTTTTTTTCTGTTTTTGTCAGTCTTCATACTACCTGCCTGCAGAGTAGGATCCTCAGTGTGCAACATCACTGCTTCCAGGACCTCCTTCCTTCTTAAGAATCAGCCTTGATTTTCATCATCTGACAGTCACTAAATGCCTCACTTCATTGCTGGGACTCCCAAGCTTTAGTCAATCCCCAATATATCTCAATGAGTTTGGCTCCCAAGTTACTATTACTCCCAAGTTACTTTCTCCAACAATCTTCCTACATTTTGACAATTTCATTATACACAGAGAGGATTCTTCCAATATCCTGAACTCACAATTCCTTGAATGCCTTTCCTCCAATGGCTTTACTTTTCATCCTATTGCAACCACTTAAAGCCTGAGTTATTTTTTTGCCATTGCCACTTATGACACTCCTTCTATAGCCTCCATTTCAAACCACCCACTCTTTGACCATCATTTCCTTCTCCAGGGAATCTTCCCAACTCAGGGATCAAATCTGTAATCTCCTGCATTGTAGGCAGATTCTTTACTGCTGAGCCATCAGGGAAGCCCTATCTTAATCACCTTTTAAATCAAAATTTCTCTCCCAACACTCATCCAAAACTGCTTATGCCAACATCATCAATGACTTTCACTTATTAAAAGCACTGGTAATCTTCATCTTCATCTTATTTGAACCATTAACTTCCTTTGGTTGATTATTACCTTTACTAGGATTCCAGGCCACCATTCTCTCTTCTTTATCTCTTCCCTCACTGTTCAGTCCTTCTCAGTCTTTTTTGCTGTCATTTTCTTCTCCTGACCTTTGAGTCAATGTTTCTTAGGACTCAGACATTAATTTTATTTTCCATCTTCACTCTACGACTCAATAAACTCATTCAGTCCCACAACATTAAAGGATCATCTATATATATTACAACATTTTAAAATAAACAAAAAACATTTCAAATTTATATCTTCACCCTGAAGCTCATTCTTGAATTGCAAATTCATGTATCAAAATGTAATGCAGAATTATACTTGAATGTATAGTAAAGACCTATCTGATGTTTGCTAAACTAATCTCCTCTTCCTCATCACATCTCTTCCACCTATAGTCTTCACAATTTTTGCTTGATGACCAAATGAATTTTGAATTCCTTGTGTGTGTGTGTGTGTGTGTGTGTATGTGAGTGTGCTTGGTCATGTCCAACTCTTTGTGACCCCACAGACCTGTATCCCACCAGGCTACTCTGTCCATGTATTTTCCTTAGTCTCTTAATTCCTTTCTCTACTTAACCACACAGTTAATTCCTGAGTAAATATTGTTGTGTATATGTATATATATATATATATGCTATAACATACATATACTTCATATGTGTGCTATCTTCACATTTTTCAATACTTTACTGTTACAGTTTGGTTGATCAAGCATCATGACTCACTTGCATCATTGCAAAAACTCACTAACTTGCTCATATGCTCTTTTTTGCCCTGCTAAAGTCTGGCTTTAATATAGCAAGTAAAGTGATATCTTAAAATGTAATTTAGGTCCTGTTATCTATCTGCTCAGAACTTTCTAATATTAGCTTGATTCTTTCAGATAAATTCTTGGGTTATAGAAGACTACGAGGCCCTTGGTAATCTGACCTCCAATGATCCATTTTCTACTCTTCTCCCTGTAACTCCTTCAAACCTAATAATATTGGCCAGTGTGCTATTCCTCCAATAGTCAAAAATGCTCTCAATTTAGAGAATTTTACAATGGGCTTCCCTTGTGGCTCAGCTGGTAGAGAATCCACCTGCAATGCAGGAGACCTGAGTTTGATCCCTGGGTTGGGAAGATCCCCTGGAGAAGGAAAATGCAACCAGCTGCAGTATTCTGATCTAGAGAATTCTATGGCCTGTCTAGTCCATGGGGTTGCAAAGAGTCAGACACAACTGAGCAACTTTCTTTTTCACTACCTACCGTGTTCTCTCCTCACATTGTTCAGGACTAGCTCCCTTATCTCTTCTAGATATTTGTAACAATGTATCTCACAATGAAGCATAGACTCATCGTCCTAGTTAATACTGCAACATACTGCATCACTGTATACTTCATTGTTGCTTTCTTTTTTCTTTTTATAATAGGCTTATCATATTCATATTTTTTCCTCAGAAAAGCTCTATAAGGACATTTTAAGAAATTTATTTAATTTAATCCCTAATGTATCTCAAGCACCTAGAATAATTCCTGTCATAGATTGAGTACTAAATTCTTATGTGTTCAGTGAATGAATGGTCCATCTCCTGCTTTGTAAGTTAGCAGTTCTCACAGTGTGGTCTATGAAAACCTGTATGCATGCTAAGTCACTTCAGTCATGTCTGACTCTTCGCGGCCCTATGGACTGTAGTCTGCCAGGCTCCTCTGTCCGTGGGATTCTCCAGGCAAGGATACTGGAGTGGGTTGCCATTTGCTTCTCCACCATGAAAACCTGAGGGTTCCCCAAATCATTTCAGGGTCCATGAGATCAAAGCTCCTTTCATAAAGATACTAGGACATGATTTGCCTTTTTACCACATTGCATTTGCCCTGCTGCTCCCACTGTATCCTTCATAGCCGTACATAAACAGAAAAAAGAAGAAAAAAAAGCCAGTTTCAACTAAGAATGCCCTTATTTAGGTGGTAAAACTTGTTACTTTTAACAAATATAAAAAAAAAAAAAAAGTACTTAAGATACCTCTTCTTTTTCAAGAAAAGTGAGATTGCACCA